AGCTACTTGGGAAGCTGGGGTGGGAGGACTGCTTGAGCCCAGGAGGTTGTGGTTGCAGTGAGCTGAGGTCACACCACTGCACTCCAGCCTGGGCAACAGAGCAAGACCCTGTCTCAAAAAAAAAAGAAAAAAAAATCAGTTCCTCAGTCACACTAGCCACATTTAAAGTGCCCAGTTACCACACATGGCTAGTGGCTACTGTTTAGAGCCACAACACAAGCACAGAACATTTCTATCACTGCAGAAAGTTCTATTAGCACTGGACTACCAAACAGTCCCTGGACCAATTTGCTTCTCCGATTCACTTTCTGAATCCCTACACTGGGCATAATTAAAGCTGTTCTATGGCTGTGCCCAGTAAACAGAAAAGCACATGCAGCTGACTGATGACATTCGTTTAACTATGAAAGGGATAATGATACTTGTCGTGGAGAAGCAAGTTGAAAAACTGACTCCGGAGCCAGGTGTGGCAGCTTGCAACTTGGGAGGCTGGTGGAAGGGTGGTGCAGATCCCTTGAGCCCAGGTGCTGGAGACCAGCTAGGGTAACAGAATGAAACACTGCCTCTTTAAAAAATAAAAAAAATTTTTAAAAAACTTAAACAAACAAGCAAACAAATGCCAGGCATGGTAGCTCACAGCACTTTGGGAGGCCAAGGCGAGCGGCTCACTTGAGACTGGAGTTCAAGACGAGCCTGGCCAACATGGTGAATCCCCATCTCTACTTAAAAAGAAAAAAAAAAACAAACAAACCAGGTGTGGTGGTGTGCGCGTGTAATCCCCGCTACTCTGGAGGCCAAGACACAAGAATCACTTGAACTGAGACACAAGAATCGCTTGAACCTGGGAGGTGGAGGTTGCAATGAGCTGAGATTGCACCACTGCACTCCAGCCTGGGCAACAGAGTGAGACTCTGTCTCAAAAACAAAAACAAAAACAAAAACAAAACAAAACAAAACTGGGTGTGGTAGTGTGTGCCTGTCATCCCAGCTACTCAGGAGGCTGAGGCAGGAGGATTGCTTGAGACCAGGAGGTTGGGGCTGCAGTAACCTGTGATTGCACTACTGCACTCCAGCCTGGGTGAGAGTGAGACTCTGCCTCCAAAAAAGAAAACCCAATCCCTTCCCATGGTCCCCTGCATACTCCTCCCAGCTCTGAGGCTTCACTTTTCGATCTCAGCAAGGTGGGAAGTACTGTCAGTCTTTTTCAGAAGCGAGCACATTCATACCTTTGTCTGGGAGCTCCTTGGAATTCTACAGCATCCATAACCTGCATCGCCTAACTCAGCATTTGGTCATACACTTTCTGCAGGTCTGGACTGTTAGTTCCTTTCAACGAGACCTATATGAAGGCGCCTGGCACAGGAGGGACTGCACTGAAGCTGGTGCCTCTGCAGCCATCCTGTGCGCTGGTGCCTGACACAGCCTCTCTGGCCCACAGCAGCAGCCCATGCTGCACATGCTAGGAGTCCAATAAATGTTACTTCCCAAAACAAGGCTCTTTAATGCCAAAGATGCTGAAAAAAACTTCCAATCAGAAGACAAGTCAAAATCCAAGTGTGTCAAAGAGTAATCTAGTTAAAAAATGATCATTTCAATCATGCTATTAGTCCTCCCTACCCTCATGCACACAGACACACGCAGGCATGCACGTGCCATGTCTTTAGACTTGAGGATAAGAAAACATTTCACAAGAAATACTAGTTTATGTTGCATTATACCTGGGCAGTCATTTCCTGTCCCATCTCCCGCCACCCTCTTTAGTTTCCCTTAAAATGGGGACGGTCTGGTGAGTTTCTAATTTTCTTTGTGGATCTAAAAGTCTGTGAGTCTGTAAGTTCCTTTCTGTCCTTGACAAAGTCTGTCAGGAACAGCAAGTCCTCTGTGTGCTTTGAGCCCTTTGTGCTTGAGAAAACTCTTTCCATACTTGCAGCAAGCTGACTGTGTGCCTGCCATGAGTCAACAGTGATGACAGGAATGGGATGACCCTCCTGACAAGGAGTGGCCCTATCACGGGGAGCAACCCCAGCTTTGGTACCCTCCCCTTCCCAAGCCCCAGGTCCACCCCGACCCTGAAGACTCTGAACAGACTGCTTCTGACCTCGGCTCAGGACCCTGCCCTCCCCACCCTCACTGACCCTCAGAATTAGGAAGAAGCAAAGTGTTCCAACTCCAGCCCCATTGGGCCAGTTCACCCACCCAGTGTCACTTGAGGCTAAGGCAATCATGCCCAGCCATTACATTTAAACTAGTAGGCAATCATGCCCAGCCATTACATTTAAACTGATTTCACAATCACAGGAAGTCAGAGGGGCTAGGCGGGGGAACCCTTTTCACCTTTTGCCAGATACCCAGTAGCCCAGTACCAGACTGACTGCACTGAATATGCTTAAACAGTCCCTGTCCTGTTGCCACTAGAGCTGTGGTGCTGGAACACCCCGCTCTTGCCACTTATCTGAGCTTGACCTGGGAGATTCCCTTCCCTTCCCTTCCCTCTACCCCACCTGACCCCACCCCCAAGCCCTCATCCCTCAGCACTCACCTGCCACATCCAGGTCCAGCTTGAAGTGGAAGGCATGTGTGTGCACCGTTCCCAGCACTCGTTCCCCCACACGGTTCCCAAAGAGGAGGCCCTCCTCTCCCCCTTTCAGGAAAGCTGTGTTGATATAACCCGTGGCATGGACCCGCCCTTCAAGTGCCCCGTTTGGGTACAACACAAAGTCCCAAATGTAGTCATAGTTGCCCACAGATGACACAGACCTGACCACAAGGGCTGAGCTGGCCAAACCACCATAGAAATGATTTTCAAGGTAATTGTGGTGCCTTCGGAGGGGCAGTCCCTGGGCTTCCTCAAATATACACACAGCCCCCGGAAGCAGCTGGACTGCCCCTTTGCCCACTAATATATGGATGTCCACCATCGTGGCTTGATAGGGGCAGTCCACTCCCCGCACCAAGCCTCGGCTGTTACGGCCAAGTCCAAAACTGCTATCCAAATAGCGAGTCAGCATCGTCTTGGGTGAATCGGCACCATAGATAGACATACACTCCTGGACACTGACTTCATAGGCTACTCGCTCACCCTGGAACCGAACATCAAAAATCCTCAGGCCGCTGAACACCCCATGGCCAAAGGTAAATGACCAGAGGGAGGATACCACCAGGTTTCCCTGCACACTGTACTGGGAACCCTGGGGTGAGAACTGAAGAGGCGGAAGAGGACCTGGAGAGTTCCGAGACCTCAGGGATGAAGCTCCATTTGGTGGAGGTAGAGGAACTCTAACCACTTCCAACCGGCCAGACTTAAACTCCCGTTCCAACTGGCCCAAGTCTGCATAGTAGTGCCCAAGGTAGAAGACCCGCTGGACAGTCCAGTGGGCAGGGTCCAGGGCCCTGTGGTCCAGTAGTAGCTCCAGCCCCACGGGGTGAAGGAAAAGACCAACACCTGAGATGTTATGGTGGAGGGCCATCCAGGTAGCTCGGTCCCCCGAGCGCAAGCCCCGAGGGGTGGCATGCACAGCTGCCAAGGTAGAGCCATTGTAGTTGAAGGTGGAAGCCAGGAAGATGGGTGCCTTGGGTAGCTCCACCTCTTTCAGATGCCTCCACATCTGCGTAAACTCAGCTCTCAGCACCGGGCGACGGTGATAGGGCAGGGGCCCGCCGTGACGCTCCACAGTCACGTCCCGCATGTAGGAAGGGTGAGGCAGCGGCCCCACCACCAGCTCACTCACATTGGGCTGGGGTTGTCCACCAAAGAGGACGATGGCCAGTGCCTCTCGGGCAGGTGGGGGGCTCCCCCTGTCCAGGTGAGCCAGGGCTGCAGCCTTGGGGGGCAGCTGCAGCTCCACTGAGAAGATGCAGTTGTCCGAGGGCTGAGCCTGGGCCGCATCCACTAGCCCGGGCCCCAGCCGCTGGGTCAGAAAGCGCATCACAGCTGTCAGCTCCTCTCGGCTCAGGTCTGCAAATAGCTGGCTCTGGCCAGGGTGTGGCCAGGGCTGGGCCCTATGGGATACAGAGGGGCAGTGGGGAGGCTGGCTGGAACCACCTGGGCTGGTCAGCAAAACATAGGCCAGGGCAAAGATGGTAATGAGGGACAGTGCCAGGAACGCCAGGACTATCTTGAGATGCATAGTGGATGCTGAGAGCTGAAATCAGAGTTCTAACAGCCGCTCCTTCCAGTTACTGACATCAAGTCGGGGTTTATATTCACTAGGATGGATAGGAATGGAGAAAACTCCACCCCATGGGTTGGGCAGGAAATTTCTGACCTTGATTTATGTAATTCTGTTCCAATTTTCTGTCCTGTGGTTTGGCCCAAGGCACTGCTTCCACATGCATAGCCTCTTCATTGCCCCTGAACTCCCACTGGTAGCAGTCAGTACCAACTACTGATTTTCACCATTTAGACCAGATGAAAGGGAATCTGGGTTAACGATGCTAACCTCCAGTTTCCACCCGGAATGGGTCTCAGGAAGAGTACAAACCTCAGATGCCCAATTAAGTTCTGCAGCCTGCATGCAAGCACTGAGCTGTCCATTTTCCTACCTCCTGGCAGGAACTGCATCCCAACAACTCCAGGATTCACTGCCATGTTCAGCAGTAAGCACTGAATTCTGCCTGTTGCCTAATGCCAAGCCCTTGATTTGTAGTCAGGCCTTTTCCATCCAGTGGAGTGGCTGAGAGCCTGGGCTTGGTAATCAGGTTTGTCCACCAATCCCAGTTCCCTCAGCTGTGTAACCTTAGCGGAAATACTTAAATCCTGAGTCTCAGCGTCCTCATCTGTAACAGATAGATACAACTACCCTACAGATTCCTAAAGATTAAATGTGATCATGCACATTAGGTACTTAAGAGCCTGGCACAGGGGAGGCACTCACAAACCACTAGCTTTTCGTAGTCATCTCTGAAACAGAACAGAGCAGCTGCTCCTCCATTGTTCAAGACCTTAAACTCTTTTTACAGAGACAACGAGGGGATCATTGGAAATCAGAAGGCTACTTGCGAGGTGCAAGTTGAGGAAACTTTTATTTCAGAGGGAGATCGATTCCTAGGCAGCCCTCCAAGTAATCTGAAAACCAAAACTATGAGTCTCCTCAAGAAACTGAAGACATTATTCAGGGAGAATTAGTATAAGGTAAAGAAAATGATTGGGCAGGACATGCCTTGAACCAGGTCATTCCTTACACATGGAGTGACAGCAGCCTCTACTGGCAGCTCACGGGTATCACTCAGGAAGAAGGAACTAGGATCTTCTGGAAGTAGGGAAAGAAGGCAGCTTAGGTCTGGGAAGAGCTAACTTTCCCGTAATTCAGACTGAACACAAATAAAGCACCCACCCTAGCTCAGTAGGCAGAAGCCTCAGTCTTTCCACTATACTGGGGAAAGATTCAGCTCAACTGGCATAAGGACACACAACAGGGTGGCTAGGTGTCCATGGAGGTGGGTGTCCGAGTGTGCACACATGCAAGCATGAGTACGTCCCTAGCCACCAGAGCATTGCACCAGGGTCTGCGGCTTTAGAAAGAGGTCAAAGTACCTGTATTTTTAATAATTTCTTGACATGGTAAAAGAATTTTACATTACGATCCAAGGGTGGTAGGGTGAGGAGGAGGGGCAGTGGAACAATCCAACAAACAGAACGGGGAACTGAGAAACACATGGAGGGAAGGGGGAAGGGTTTTAGCTGGAAGGGATCTGGAGGGTGGGTGGGAGCACTGCCCAACTAAAATGCAGTTGGTTTGTTACTGAGTACTATTCGTGGGAAGACAGCATCCTGACTCCTTCTCTACAGAGTATCGGGAGTACAAATGATGCATCCCAGGTGGAAATATTATTGGGGGTTGGAAGACAGAGACAGGAAGAATAAGTCAGAAACAGACACTAAGAGTTACTGGCAGGCTGACTGCAGGTATCAACTCTCCAGCCGTGGTAGAATAAAAGAGCTGGGGGCTGACGGGGATTAACACAAAAGTTGTTAACAGTTAAGTGATATCTCTGGAAGATTCGAGAGACAGGAGGCAACTCTTCTATAGTTTTGACTTGCCCAGTGCATTTCCACATACACAAACGTGTATATGTATGTGTGTGCATGCACATACACATACACACCAATGACTGCTTTCCCCAGAAGCCCGACACTATAAATAAGAGAAATATTTCCCAAAAGGAAAGCCCAACATGAGCAGCAGCGTCCAGACCTCATACTTGCAGACATCTTCACCCCAACTGACAACTAGCTGGGAAAAGGCAACCAGGAGTCAAGCTTTTGCAATAATGCCAAAAAGGGCTGAGTCAGAGAGGAATAGGCCTTCCCCAAGCCCTCTGCTTCTCATCTCTCTGTTCTTCACCAACTCACCCTGGGTACCAAGAGGCTACAGTATCAGGAGGGAGGACGGGCCCAGGACGTTTGTTTGGGTAGATGACAACTAAGACAACCATCACCTCCTGAAAGGTACATGACAGGGATTGTGGAGAGGGAGGGTATGTTAGCTAATGGAGTAGGAGTGTGTGTGCATGTCTGTATGGGTGTATACGTACATACACATATGTGCATGTGAAAACGCCCATTATAAAAACATCGGAAGGAGCTTGGGAATTGACTGAAGGCCTAACGTGTTTCTTGTCATGATCAAGATTCAAGGTGGGATGTACACAGATGCAAAGCCCGAAGTCATCACCAGGGCAACTGTGGAAGGATCCAATGCCCCACAGAGGAAAGAAACAGTAACCTCATGTGAGGAAGAGAAGTTCATCCCCCCACCACCCTAGTTCCTAAAAAACACCTAGCACTTTCCTTGCGGTTCCCTTCAGCTTTTAACCAACTAATTATCAAAAGGAAGAAAACATACAGCGCAAGACACAGGAGGGAGAGAGGAGGAGAGTGAAAACACAAGTATTTTTGTGCCAACATCCTGCACACACAAACCTGGAGTTCTCCAGAAATTACGACAGGTTGGGTGTGGGGTATTAGGGAAGGAAATAGAAGAGTTCCTGAGGCCTGAAAAAAGAGGTAAACACATCACAGAACTAGATGAGAGTTTCATTAGACTCTAACTAAAAACAGAGAGGTGTAATTACTATTTCCAGCCAGTTTCCCCATCACGATAGTCATGTAACAAACCAAGGCAATGTCGGTCTTGAGCCAGACTCACAGAGTCCCCTGGCCCTGGCCCTGGCCTCAGTACAGAGTCTCTGCATTGCTGCTCCGGGGCCGTTTGATCTTCTCGATATTTTTCAGGATCATGTCATGTAGAGTGACCTGGGAGAAGAAGGATCAGGGAAATCACATATCTGTACAACCCTTACCTCACCAAGAAAGTGACAGACCCTTGGGCCGGGCGCGGTGGCTCAAGCCTGTAATCCCAGCACTTTGGGAGGCCGAGACGGGCGGATCACGAGGTCAGGAGATCGAGACCATCCTGGCTAACACGGTGAAACCCCGTCTCTACTACAAAATACAAAAAACTAGCCGGGTGAGGTGGCGGGTGCCTGTAGTCCCAGCTACCTGGGAGGCCGAGGTAGGAGGATCGCTTGAGTCAAGGAGTTTGAGGTTGCAGTGACCTGAGATTGTGCCACTGCACTCCAACCTGGGTGACAGAGTGAGACTCTGTCCCCCCTCAGAAAAAGAAAGAAAAGGTTCTTGCCACAAAGCAAATTATGCTGTAGTTGGGAAGACCAATCTTTCCAGAAATACAACACATTAAGTATTATAAGGAATAGGAAAAAAGAAACTATCAAAGCAGGGAAGATAATTAAGGGAATACGTACAAATCTGCTGGTTCCACAAAGGAACACATTATTCAGTCAACAACCACGCATTCAGCAATTGCTATGGACCAGGATCAACACTAGGTGCTGGGAATACAAAGATTAAGATAGTTCCTGCCGACCGACTACGGTGGCTCATGCCTGTAATCCCAGCACTTTGGGAGGCTGAGGCGGGTGGATCACCTGAGGTCAGGAGTTCGAGATCAGTCTGGACAACATGGTGAAACCCTGTCTCCACTAAAAATAAAAAAATTGGCTGGGCTTGGTGGCGCGCACCTGTAATCTCAGCTACATGGAGGCTGA